GGCTGGCGGCGCAGGTGGACTTCTGCCAGGTGCTGCAGATCTTCTTCCCCTTCAGCACGCAGCTCTACCCCCGCGAGTTCCCCGGCCACGACCCCCGCGACTGCCCGCGCGACGTGGGCAAGGCGGCGGCGCTGCGCCTGGGCTGCATCAACGCCGAGTACCCGGACTCCTTCGGCCACTACCGCGAGGCCAAGTTCTCCCAGACCAAGCACCACTGGTGGTGGAAGCTGCACTTCGTGTGGGAGCGGCTCCGGGCGCTGCGGGAGCACGCGGGGCTGGTGCTCTTCCTGGAGGAGGCGACTGCCCGCGCGACGTGGGCAAGGCGGCGGCGCTGCGCCTGGGCTGCATCAACGCCGAGTACCCGGACTCCTTCGGCCACTACCGCGAGGCCAAGTTCTCCCAGACCAAGCACCACTGGTGGTGGAAGCTGCACTTCGTGTGGGAGCGGCTCCGGGCGCTGCGGGAGCACGCGGGGCTGGTGCTCTTCCTGGAGGAGGATCACTACCTGGCCCCCGACTTCTACCACGTCCTCAAGCAGATGTGGGCGCTGAGGCAGCAGGAGTGTCCGGAGTGCCAGATCCTCTCCCTGGGCAGCTACAATGTAGTGCGGGGCGGCTTCTCCGGCAAGGCCGACAAGGTGGAGATGAAGACGTGGAAGTCCACCGAGCACAACATGGGCATGGCCTTCAGCAGAGAGACGTACCAGCAACTGATCGAGTGCACGGATGCCTTCTGCACCTATGACGACTACAACTGGGACTGGACGCTGCAGCATTTGACTATCTCTTGTCTTCCAAAGTTCTGGAAAGTGCTAGTACCTGAAATCCCCAGGGTTTTTCATACAGGGGACTGTGGTATGCACCACAAGAAATCCTGCAGACCATCCACCCAGAGTGCCAAAATCGACTCTCTCTTAAACAACAACCAACAGTACCTGTTTCCTGAAACAATGAGTGTCAGTAAAAGGTACTCCATGGCACCTCTCTCTCCTCATGTGAAAAATGGAGGGTGGGGAGATATTAGAGACCATGAACTCTGTAAAAGTTACCGCAGACTGCAGTGAAAAAGTCACACTCTCATAATAGCCTCTTTCAAATTATTCCATATTGTCTTATGGACAAACATGTATAAAAGGGTTTGATTTCTGCTTTAATAATAAACATTCTTGTAAAAGGTGTCCAAAAATAGTAATCTTTCTTGTTTCCCATTTAGTTTTTTTAAACACGCCCGGCCCTACTGCTGATGTGTAACAAAATTTAAGCCCAGATTCAGAAAGGGCCCATTATGCTGCATTTACTGAATTTGATAAATGTTAAAATGCATCTTATGATAATGTAAAGCTTTGCACTTTCAGAATCTTTTAAATGCCATATAAAATACATTTTTGAAATGACCAATTCCATGATATTCAAAGTACTGAGAACAGTGAGGATCAAGAGGAATAAGTTTGACTGAACACTCAGTCCAGCAGCCCTGTACTAGCTTTTTCATTGTTTAAATTCAGTGACAAACTAATTCAGCATTCCACAAGCTTGTGTTTTATTAGACTTGCTTGAGACTTAGTGCATATCTGCAGGGACATTTTGTTTCACTGTGTATTTGATTATATAAAGAGGGACAAATCACTGCTCTCATGTTATGTAAAAATAACTTTAATTATGCCAAAATAAAATTCATATATGTAATACCATGAAAGTCCTTGATTCTAAAAAGTTAGTTTAGTTTAAATCTTTGCCATGACAAAATTCAGTTCTAATAGAGTTTAAAACCAGACCTAATGCCAATTATCCATTCAAAGAATATACATCTAACTTCATTAAAAATTCAGTAATCAAGTTAAAATAGAGAAACAATATAACATCTGTTGGAAGTATGAAGAATGCTTAGCTTTGAACTTAGTCAGCCATAAAGAAAAACAACATACTGCTATTTAATGGAAATATATTGAACTAGAGCTGAAAGTCAGCATACAAACCAAAAAAGTACTTGTTAAAGTGAAACATTTATTAGCCTATTCTAATGATACATTTATTTTAATGTCACTTATCTCTGAAGTATAACTACCATCAATAAGTTTAATTTTTGGGGAATAGACTTAGAACAGAATTAACTGAACTCAAAATACAGAGGGAGAATGAATTTACAAAGGTTGGAATGCAGTCACTCTAAACATTAGTTAATGCCTATAAATCATATAAAAACATACAAACCAAATTTTAATAAATTGGGTCAAATTATTCTGTGTACTTTCATGTTGCTAGATGAATTGCAAACAATATAATTGTGATTTTTTAATACATTAGAGCTAAATAAAACTCTACTCCACTTGTATTAGGATAATGGAGAGTCAGTTGATTTTTAGCACCCTCAAAATATTATTGCTCAGTGAAATTGCTTAATTTGCTTTCAACAAAACTCCATTCTTACACCTCTCCTATTTTATGGGATGTGAATACACTAGAGGAAACAACTGTTATGAAGCTCTCTCAGTATGTGGATATTACTTTTTTAAAATAGAATGTGTGCCAATACAAATTATCCTCCTGGGTAATTTAACTGTCAAATTTTAGACATAGACAAGATGGGTGAAATAAGATATTATCTTTTACTGAACCAACTTCCTGTTGGGTGAGAGTGCTTTCCTGCTTATGCAGTTTGTTTCACTTGAAGAGTTCAGTGTAAGTCTCTCTCACCAACAACAATTAACAACTCACCCTCCCTGTGCCTCTAATATCTTGGAACCAACACAGCATATACATTTTAGAATGGTCATAAACAAAATTCAGTACTTGCTATGTTAAGTATATACAACCCCAAGAAGTACTTGTGGCTGGCATGACTCTGTAAGGAGCCCAATGTTATGGGAGATTTGAATCATATATTGAATTTAACCCAATTGTGTTCAGAAGTACATTCTTTAGCATGTACAACAATTAGTAAATGACCAGAGCTTTGTCTTTTTAAGTGACAGAAAAATGATTTGAAAGTTTAATATCAAAGCTCTGAAATATTCCTGCTTACTGTTTTTCTTCTGCCATGCAATCCAATGTGCAGGATCTTTAAACCACAGGAAACTTATTTTGAGTGATAGGAATAATTTAGACCAGTTGGCTCCACATTAGAACATGGCTACATCAATGAAGAGATGTTGGGAAGTGCAGGTTTTGATAAACATATTTGAATTAGTGTATCTGCTACAGTGCATTTGGAGACTCTATCTGAAGGAAAGTAGCAGGATAAAATAGCTGTATAAATATTTATTTTAATCAGGTTAATTAAAAGTGGGCTTCTGTATGGAATAAAAAATTCTATTTACCAAAAATCTATAGCAGTTTAATCCTAAACTCATCACAAAATGAGATTGGCAAATATTTACTTCAAATGATGGGTACTGTTTGCCAATAGGATGAGCAAAGATAATCATTGTGGAGAGAAGCATTACAAAAAACACAATGTATACAAACATGTATAAAAACTAATACATTAGGGTACTCAACTAATCAAGATCCAAGGATCTTAAGGGAAAGTAACACGCTGTGTATGTTAACTTCTACTCAACTGAATATTTTTGAAAGCCAAAATTAGCAAAATATCAGGTATATTTAAAATTAGTTGACTTACACAAAACACTTAAATCAGTTCCTCTTATTGAAGCTGTCAGATTCAAGTTCAGACTTCTGCATTCCATGCAATAGTTTAGATGCCAAAAGAACAGTAGCCTGAACTACAGATAAAACTAAAATTGACATAACTTAATCTAACCACTAAAATTAAAATTGACATAACTTAATCCAACTCATACAACAAAGAATTTTGAAAAATTAATCCACAGTGCGTTGTGTGATCTTTAACAATTTTCACACTTCCATCTTGCCTATTAATTTCCTCTATAATTGGGGGAACTGGTTTACAGTTCAAATGTCGGTTCTCTTCTGCTGGCTCTGAAGATAAGACTTCTTCATCCTTTCTTATTTTTGCCTGCTCTTCCAAATGAAGTAATTCTTGCTTTTCAGAGTCTGAGGACGTGGCACTTTTCCCTGTTGTGAAAGCAAGTTCTAAATGTGGGTCATCTATCTGAGATTTCCCAGAAATTGCTAAATTAGTGTCAGTAGGTTCAAGCTGCAAACAATGGCCTGAAATCATGTCAGTTTCCGTACTGTGTTTTCCAACTGTGTCAGCTGCACTAAGGTTAGCTTCTAAATTTGTTTTGAAGTAGTTTCTATTCTCTTTTTCAAGTTGATCTCTTCCTGAATTGTTAACCATTTGTTCTTTTTCTCCAAGTTCACAATGTGTAACCTCCTGTGACTGAGGGGAAAAACAAAACAGGAAATTAATTGTACTTTGATACCCTAACACTTAATGTTGACTGAACACAAAAATGCTATCCAACGCAGGCCTAGACCCTGAATAACTCAAAATGCACTTATTTCTATGAGATTTACAATTGGAATTTAGTCTGTGCTTACATAAAGCTAAATCAGACCTAGGGATGTAAAAGATTAACTGATTACAAGGTAAGCATTCACCTTCCTGGCATGTTTACTGGGGTAACCAGTGGCCTAGCCCAGCCCCTCCACCCCATGACACTGTGTAGCAGGCCCTGCACAGCCCAGCCAGAGTAGCCTTGTGCCACAATGTGACAGGTGGGGCCCTACCCAGCCAGAGTAGCCTCGGGCCTATGCCAGGTCCTGCCTGGCCAGAGAAGCAGCTCCAGGAACTAGCGATGTCAAGATTCCTTACCCTTCCCTATTCTACTCCCCACACCCTAACACCCAGTTTATACTAGACCAGGCAGGTCAGCTTAGGGTACACAACTCCAGCTACACAAAATGCTTAACTGGAGTCAGCTTACCTTAAGCTGCACTGTGGCAGCATCCACAAAGCAGGCGGCCAATGGGAGCACGCGCTCCCGTCAGCTTTCCTTACTCCTCACAGGAGGACCACCAGATGCTGATGGGGGTTGCCCACAGCATTTATTTTAGGGGTCTATACTAGATTGACCTTCAGAAAGTTGATCTCATAAGTGCTGACATGCTCTACATGAGTTACTGTCACTAAGAAAGTAAGAGAAGATACATTCCCTTACCAGTGAGGCTAGTTTTACCCACCTTGTGGATGCCAAAACCCCAAACTACCTTCCCCATTTCCTGGGTGCCAAAAGCCAATTTTTTTATCCCAACAGTTCTCAAACTGTGGACCAGAATCCTGTTTTAATGGGGTTGCCAGGGCTGGTGTTAGACTTGCTGGGGCCCATGGCCAAGGATGAAGCTGAAGCCCAGCCTGAAGGCCTTAGCCCTGTGTGGTGGGGCATAGGTTACAGGCCCCTCTCCCAGTGCTGAAGCCTTGGGTGAGGGGGCTCAAACTTTGCCCCCCATTTCCTCCATAGCAGCTGGACTTGGGCCTTTCTGCCTGTGGCTGCAGGGATCAGACTTTGGCCCTGTGGCAGAAGGGCTTGGGCAAGCTCAGAATATGGTCTCCCCCCTCCCAGAGTCATAAAATGTTTGTTGTCAGAAGGGGGTCGCAGTGCAATGAAACTTGAGAACCCCTGGTTATCCAGTGTCCTAAATTTTCAGCTTTCCTCCAGACTCCTACAATCCACTCTCAGATTAGAAATGCTGTTGTATACTGGAACTTCAGAACTATGCAACACACTGAAAACTGAAGTGATGCAAAAGAATCAAATTGTTGAATTAGCAAGTTAAGGGAATACTGCAGTGACTTTATTCGACTAAAACCTTATCGACAGTACTTGAATCTGACATATCAATGCACCACGTAATTCAGTGTCCTTCATCAGGAGCCTTGCCACAGAGTTCGGGCCTACTCCTTTACGATGGAGTTCACCTGCATAGTCTAAGCATAATCAACTGAAAGAAGAGTTAATTGAAATAACAGTGGGGCAATTAGTCCTGAAGTTAATCAGCTATTTAGTAGTAAAGTCAGCATTCTACTCCTGAACTCTGGAACCTAAACAGACCCTGTCAATTTGAAATGTAATGTCGTTTAAGAAGAGTTAGGAAGTTTTAGGAGCTATGCCTGCCCAAATCCCCATCAGTTTTTGTAATTTTACCATCACATTTTCTTATCTTAAAAAATGTGCCCTCCTCTCTGATTAATTCATACCAATGAGAGAAAATTTTCACTGCAGATAGGAAAGAATGGAATTTACTATAGACAA